CATGCAAACTTCACACAGAAACACGAACTGACTAAGCCGAGGTTGAACCAGCGATATTCTTGCTGTGAGGCGAGAGCTACCTACTGCGTCACCATTAATCAATACATACAAATAGAAATAAACCACAAATGAATGGTTACTATCTTGACACACACGTAAGATTGCTTTTCTCAGATCCTTAGTTAGATTCTTCACCAATGTGACCATGGATGTAGTCAGTGCTGCTGTTATGGCATTAAAACACATCACAACATAACATTAAATAAATGAATACTAAATTGAAATGAACTGGCAGATGAAGCAGCAAAACTATCTCCTTGAAAGTGACAAAATGTTTAATTCCGCCTGAGGCCTCGAAACCTACAATTAATTTGTATATAAACGAAACATGGCGAAGGGAATGGGACATTTGCATAAATAATAAATTACATGAAATTAACCCGAAAATAAATGAAAGACACTTGGCAGATTCTTGTTTTGAGACCAGGCATGATCAAACTGTTATACTAGAAGTCGAATTGGACATTCTAGGTTGACTCATTTGTATTTACTCTATAACAAAGCACCACCTAAATGTTATTACTGCCAGACTGCTTATGCCATCAAACATATTTTGTTGGAATGTCGAAGTTTGACTGCCCTTACAGAGAGCTTTGCTCAGCGAGAGCTCTTTCTAGCTTAGCTTCAAACACCGTGCCAAAGCTTAGATTTTTTTTCAGTTGCCGCTCTAAAGGTAAATAAGCAAACGCTAAAGGCTGATTTATACTTCTACGTCAAACGCCGGCATATGATACGGCGCTGACGCATAGCCCTTCGCCGTGGCCGTCAGCGTCACTGACGTGCACCTCTCAAAAAATGTAACTACACGTCGCAACAACGCGTAGCGCAAACTCTGTGATTGGTCGGCTTGGTAGTGCTGACGAGTCTGGGCAGGACCGAGAGCCACGCGAATGGCGCGAGCGATTGTTTACAAGTGTGGAGTCCTGTGAAGGAGCTCCGGATGGAAAGTTTTGTTTTGTGTTTACCTCATAGTTAAAGTTGTTGCACGTCCGCCGGTTTTTGACTCAAAATGAGCGAGTTTGAGTCAGGTGTACAACCAGGAAGTGTTCAGAAAAAGCAAAACAGCAGAGAAGAAACTTGACACAGAGGAACATTTACACCTCACTGCCAACTAGCGATTTAGAAGTGTAATGCAGACCAACAGAGACTGCGTGCAGAAGTCTAAATGCACAGCTGCGCGCGTTGCCTGCGCCGTGAGTTACACCGGTCACTTGATGCAGAAGTATAAACCAGGCTTAACTTGTCATGCTTGTCAAGCTGGATAACAAGTAAAACATCAGCACTAGCAGGGCCGGAGTGGGACTGCTTTTCAGCCCTGGAATTTCAAGCCTCAGACCGGCCCACCTCAGTTCACGACTGACTATATTTAAATAAGGACATTTCCATTTCAGTTTCTAATTACAATATCACGTCTTTTTTTAAGAAAACAGCTGCTTTAGAACTTCAAATGTTCAACAACTCTAACAGTATTATATGTCTTAACAATAAAAATGAGAAGTAAAAAAAAAAAAAAAAAAAACATACTCAGACGAGAATCAAACCCCGATCGGCAGCGTCGTAATCTAACGTGCTAACCACTGGACCACAGCAGTTGTAGTCAAAAACCAATAACTTGCAGGCTACTTATATATAAACAGAGCAGAGCTACGGTAAAATAATGAATAAGAAGACTGGTCAAATAAATAAATTAATTTAAAAAGTGTGACTGCTGAGAGCAACAGATTCTGAAGCTAGGGACACCGGCCCTCGCGGCCAAAAAACGGACCGGCCCACCGGGAATTCTCCCGGTCCTCCCGATTAGCCAATCCGGGCCTGAGCACTAGGGACTTTACGGTCCTCACTTCAAACAAAACAAAAGTAGGATTCTGTAGAGATTTACCCTGCGGTTGCTCCCTTCCACCTCATCCCTGTCTATGAGGCGCTGAACTCCGTATCAGTGCGTGAGAGAGCTCCGCGCACAACTATAGTGTTTTTTTTTTGATGATCAAATGTCCCGTGTCGCGCAACACAACGAATCACTTTTGAAATTCAGTGCTATTGCTTTTAGTAATCTATTTTTATTGACTTAATTGATTCATTGTTGCAGCCGTAATGTACATGCTTTTATTATGCATAAATAATTTTACAACACAGCTTTGCGCTGTTAAAATATATGTATAATTAACATGACACTAACGTGGGCTTTTCTTTTCATTTTTCTATATGCATTTCAGATGCGATGCCTACGGAGGTGTCTGTAAAGGTGGGAGAGCCTGTCATTTTACAGCATAATATTTCTGACATACACATGTATGATGTAATAGAGTGGATGTTTGAAGATGGCAAGACTGCCATCGCTCGAATCAACAAACAAATCAGTAAAAACCCCACGTATGGTGAAAAGAATGAGAAATTCAAAGGCAGACTGGCGCTGGATCAGACAGGATATCTGACCATCGCAGACTCCAAAACCACAGACTCGGGACTTTATAAACTCGAGGTGATAGGAACCAACTTAAAAGGGAACAGGAACTTTCGTGTTATAGTCAGTGGTGAGTACAATCTGCCGTTTGCTAGTCTTAAAGGGTGAAGATTTGTTATTGAATTCATAGGATTTCATTCTGAATTGATTGTCTCTCTTTGTTTTTTTTTTTTTTACAGAACCGGGTCTGTCCACAGTTTATATTGTGATCATTGTGGTTGTTATTCTGTTGATCGTGGTGGCGGTGCTCGTTGCGATTAAGTGTCGCAATAATAGAAAGACTGTATTATAAAAATAACAGAGTAAGTAAGCATCTTATATTGACTTCATTTACTGCATTGCATTTCTCTATGCTAAGGCAGAATACAAATGTTCATATTATTTAAAGGGCTGTATTTGTTTGATAAACACACCGTATATACAGGGCTTCACATTAACTCCCGCCAAATGCGGGTAGATTTCAGCTGTAGCACCTCACTAGCCACTTTGGCTGGTTGAAAATTATTTTTAAATTGCCAGTTCTGGCTCATCACTAAAGATTAGAACTGTAGTTTAGGACAAGTAAATGCATGCAGATGTGATCAGCAGGACTGATAACTGTTCGTGCGAGCAAAGAAAGCAGGTAAATGCTGATTGAGAGGATGTTCAGGCGATTGGTGAAACACAGGTCCTCACTCACTGACTAGGGCATTACTGTCACGCACACAGCAAGTGCTTAAAAGCTCCCACGTCTTTGCACGAAGCAACTGTGCCTGCAAACACATCTGGTGGGATTGCTTCTCTTTAAAATAGTCTGGAAAAAGGCTGTGCTCATGCAGCCACGGTCCTGCTGCTTTCCACAGCTCCAGACTTTTTGTAAGCAGCCGTGTTTGCCGCTTTCACTCGAACCATTCTTTGAACAGATTATTAATGGGCCTAATGTTAACCATGGCGCGCGATCATTCTTTCATTATCGCACACAGTATTTTTCGCCGGCTTTCTATTGCTTATAGTTAGTTTTGTTTATATGTTTGAATTAGCATCCTTTACATTAACAATGCTTTACTAGGATATTAACTCTCTATTAATGTATAGTCGAGCCCATCATTGAGTATTTACTTGTGTAAATTTATATTTATTCAGTTTTTAAATTAATTTCACTAATATTATTGTAATATAATAATTGTTATATTCAAATGTTCGTATTATTTATTTATAATACAGTTTGTAAAGTCATATTTTCTGTCTTTTAGTAGATATATTATGTTGAGAGACTAGCTTTGTTCACCAAATAAGTGGATCTAATTGGATTTACATTGTAAACGTTAAGTAAAAGTTAAAAAGGTATTATTTTTGATTTCATATATTAATTTATTAGTTTGATACCCCTAAAATCATTCCGCGTAAACCTGCAGATTTTTGACAATTTTCTACAGAAATAGCAAACAATGTCTATTGCATTTTAGATGCGTGACAATATTTTTTTTTTATGTATTAATGGTTTTTTAGGAAAATTTTGTTGAATAAAAAGTGCATGTATACAGCTATATTTAGCTTGTTTCGACACATGCTAATTTAAGGAAATATATACTTTGATGTGGCTAGATAATTTTTATTAAATCCTTAGTATTGAGCACTGAAAATTCACGTAAAATAAAAACTAATTGCAACATGACACTTTGAAACCATAACCTATTTGTTAATGTACATTGAGCAAGCTTATACACACACAGAAAGTGAAATGAACGATGATGCAAGCATGTGGGCATTTCACAAAATCTGAATTAAGTTATTTTAGCTTGGCAAATGCACATTTATGCATGTAAAATATATTTTCCCAACTAGTGCTAGTGAAAATGGTTACTAAAGGGAAAATGTAGTAATGTTGAACTACTAGCCACAGTGACTGGTGATCAAAAAAGGTAATGTCAAGCCCTGAGTGGAATATTCTGACTGATATGATGAATTTAAAATGCCAATTTTCTGACTGAATAAGTTTTACATGTATTCCTGTGATGCAAATCTAAATTTTTATCAGAAAACTTTCTAATAAACTTCATTTGTTGCTCTAGAAATCATGATAAATGTAAGACTTTTATTTTTTGATTTTTGTTTAAAAAATGTACATTTCATTAAAAAGTAACTTTAATAATAGCTTTAAAGCAGAACAACAAGATTCAGTATTGATAATAAAATATTGTATAAAAATTATAAATTTAATTTGTGTACTGTTACTGGCTTCTAAAAAGTCAAACTATATATATATATATATATATATATATATATATATATATATATATATATATATATATATATATTATTTTATTATTTTTTTAACGTATATATTGTCATTAAAATTCGTAATATTTTGTATTTTACATATTATTTTTTTGGTACTTTAATCATAAAATTACTGCCTTTTTTCTTCACACTGCTGAATCTGTTGAGCTTTTGTTAAATAGTAATTTATCATCTTTATTCTTATTGTGCTTGCTTTCAGATGGAGATGAAGGACGTCCATTGAAATAACAACAATAGGTCAGAGCGTCTGTAACACGGCTCTTGAAATAAGCAAGACCAAACTTTTTGGGCATAAATAGGGAAAACATTCTTACATAAATCTACATATGCACATTTGCTGGAATCATTTTGCTCTAAATGCTGATTTTATTCATTTTTTTTGTCGTTTTAAACCATAAGTCTCAAACTGGATTCCTGGAGGGCGGCAGCTCTGCACAGTTTTACTCCATTTTAAATCAAACACAGCTGATCCAACTAATCGAGTGTTCAAAAGAGTCCCGAACACCTAAAGTAGTTGGATCAGCTGTGTTTGATTAGGGTTGGAGCAAAGGAATTGAGTTTGAGACCTGTATGGTACAGTTAGTATATAATACGAGAAATCAACCCTGTTATAAACGGATATGTAATCTTGCTGGCTGATGGGACTGCAGCTTTAACGCTTCTGGTAGATGTTTTTTAGATCATACGTTATATTGACTACATTTTTTTAAGCAATTGTTTTCTGTTGAGATTTATTTAATATCTTAGAGGGCCAAAGAAGGGACTGTGTAAAAGATTGATGTTTTTTTCTTGAATTTTCATATAAAAACTGTTTGCCTCGTTTTTACTGAATAATTACTTTAAGGTTTTAGATTTTACTGTCATATATGTTTTGTTTACATGAAGACGGATTGAGATGAACGTTTGTTCGCTTGAAGGGTGATATGGTTGATGAATGTTTTCAGCTGGGATACTTGAGCTGTTTTTGAAATCACTGGGATTCATCAGTTGTATGAATGCCAAATTTGTTGCACTTGCTGTAAAGCCATTGAATGGTGTCACTTTGAATATGCAGCCATGTTGTTTTACTTTTTGTTATTTCTCTGCTATGGGCTGTAATGGGAAATGATGACCTCTCGCCAGCCTGATTTCACCAAGTAGGACTTGTTCCTGGATTATCATCTATATTGATCCTGGAACAACATTCCGATCAGCCAATCAGAATAAAGGGATATGTTTACTGCTTATGTTAAGTTTAGGTTTAAGCACTTCTATATGGTTGTTATCCAACTATTATTCCTCTCTGATTTGGGGAATAATTTACAGTTGTGATTGGGTTTAGGGGTTCGGAATAGATGTGGATGGTAATCTAGGATTGCATTGTACTTGGCAAAATCATGATGTGTGAGGACATCTTGATGCCTTTTTGTATTGTAAGAAATGTATGAAATTATAAAAAAGGATAAATACAGTGGTTATTTTCAAGATGACTTGGTGTATTATTATTGTTTGCGGTTGTACGTTTAAATTAGGATGTTAATCTAAATGCTGATTCTCAACATGGATCTACTTCGATAACATAGTCCTTTTTTATTAGTAGTAATTTGTTTTCTCTTCATTTAAAAGGTTTTGATGTTCACTTTTTTTCTGCATGCCTGGGTCAAGTTTCTTCAGTTTTTGAAGTGTTAACATGTATGCATTTAAAATGTTGCTGTCATTTCAAGAAAACAACTAAGTCTGTAAGAGTCAGGGGCATAGCAACTAGGGGGCACGGTGAGGATATGTCCCTCTCACTTCTAGAGGCGGACCATTTAGAAACGGGTGATTAATAATTATATGAACGCTAATTTTAGATCTCATTCAGCTGTCCCCCTTTCTCTTTTAAAATGTATTCAAAGTATTTGATATTTAGTTTTAACTTCCTTCACACACATATACTGTACATATTATGTTATTTATTTATTTATTTTTTGCCTTTCAAAAACATAACAATTTAGGCCAAACATAATCTTGCACAAACTGACTGAGACATGTCAGATACACAGTAAATCAAGTATGAAGCCATACAATTTCATAAAATAACCACAAATAAACAAAAAATAACTTTACTAACAAAAAAGATACATTTACCGTACAGAGATCAAACAGAAACTCTGTAAGGGGTTAGATAAAACCATATTCTTTAAACAAATCATACAATTTTTTAGCCTTCTCAGCCTTCATAATTTTTAAAGCTTCTACATAGGTGGGAAACTCCTTTTTAGAGACAGACAATTGAGGAGCTGTTTAAAAAAAAAATTGCGAGAAAAAATTAGTGAATGAAGAATTGAATTAAAATAAGTAAACAATTTGCAGTTAAGTCATTGTCTATGCTGTCCAAATGTACTCCATATTTCACATTGTCCCAACAAATAGAAGGAAACCTTTAAATATATTGTTTTATCCAGTTGTCCACATCAGTCCAGAAAGGATTAACTAAATTACAATATAGAAATAGATGCTCAACAGTTTCAATATCAGTATTGCAGAATTGGCAAACATTACAATTCACATTAAATCTTTTTCTCAGAAACTCTTTTACAGGGTAAATATCATATATCATTTTAAAATGTACTTCTTTGTATTTTGGGGGAATAGGAAATGTCAAAAATTTGCAACCTAATTCTTTTAAAACAGTTGGTTAATATAATTTCTTTTAATAGGACCAGGATAGCATTCCTGTATTAAACACTTTCTAATAAACATATTTGTACATTTATTGTCCACAGAGTTTAACTTGCCTAATTTAGTATCCATCATTTTTGGTGTGGCGGGATCTTTTTTAACATATGAATTAATGGTAAGAGAATACATCTAATTACTTTTAAATAATCTTTTTTTTTTTTTTTTTTTTTTTTTTAAATTAAATTTAAAGATAGTAAGCTCATTAAACACATTAAAAAAAAAAAAAAAAACTTTATACCTCACAGTTTTTTAAATTAATAAGATGGGATTACAAACCAATAAGAATTTATATATATATATATATATATATATATATATATATATATATATATATATATATATATATATATATATATATATATATATATATATATATATATATATGCAGCCATTTAAGTTTAGGTACGTTCATACTTCCTTTACATATACTATATATACTATACTAGAAATTGACCACCTTAAACTGATATACTATTTCCAGTCACTAGGAGACGCTAGTAGCTAATGTTTAACAGAAGGATGCTGCTCCCTGCAGATGTTTATACCTGCGTTTTACCCTCCATCAAAACGCGAAAAGACCAGTTTTGTTTTTTCAGCACCTTATGAATTCTCTGAAATTCGGTGTCTGTCTCTAGTCTTCAGGCGGATTTCCGTGTTTTTGTCTCATTTTCAGTGAGGTGGGAGTGGTTTGGGAAACACTCATGACTGAAAAAACGGCGTAAATAATCGCGTTTATCTTATTAATACCATAAAATACGACTAAAATGTGCAGGAATATGAAGAAGCTAATTTTGGCTGTGCTTGTTTTGTTTCTCGCAAACGGTAAGTCTGTTTATTTTTCATAACTTTCGTTTTCACGTATACCGGAAGCAAGGTGTATATGGTGGCACAGTGTTCAGCAGTAATGTCACATAAGTCGTGTAAACACCTTAAAATAACTTAATTTTGGGGATGGAGGGCTCAATATATGGATTGACACGATAGTTTAACCTTGCACCGCGTGTGCTAAGCATGCTGCGTAAGTTACGTTGGACGTCCTGACGCCATCAATGCGCTATTGTAATAAGTGTATATCAATTTTATGTGTGACCGACCATACTCCTAAAAACAATACCCATATTTAATACTTTCCTTATTAAAATTTCGTACAATATTTAATCTCTTAAGCTTATTAATAATAAGAATAATACGTTTCTTAAAGCTTATTAAAATCTAATGATTGAGGCTTTGTAATTTTTTCGCTCTTCTTTTTTTTTTTGGTATTGTATTTTTTCTTCAATGCAGTGATGTTATTATTCTTGTATCAATAAAAATAAATATTTAAAAAATAATAATCATAAAAAAAAAGTGACAGACCCTAAATATTCTTCACCCCCTTTAACTTTCACAACATTAATGTTTTACGAGTTGTTAACTTTCCCTTAGGGTAAAAATCCATGGTCTTATTATACATAAAAGTGTAGGATATTAAAAATATAGTTGAAGTCAGAAGTATTAGCCCCCCCTGAATTATTAGCCCCCATTTATTTTCTGCCAATTTCTGTTTAACGGAAGGAAGATTTTTTTCAACTCAAGTCTAAACATAATAGTTTTAAAAACCCCATTTCTAATAACTGATTTATTTTATCTTTGCCATGATGATTGTACATGATATTTGCTGGATATATAAAGCTTAAAGTGACATTTAAAGGCTTAACTAGATTAGATTAACTAGGCAGGTTAGGGTAATTATTATTGTATAACAATGTTTTTTTTCTGTAGACTATCGAAAAAATATAGCTTAAAGAGACTAATATTTTTGATCTTAAAATAGTGTTTAAAAAGTTTGTTTAAATCTGCTTTTATTCTTGTCAAAATTAAATAAATAAGACTTTCTTTAGAAGAAAATATTATCAGACATACTGTAAAAATGTCCTTGCTTTGTTAATTATCAGTTGGGAAATATTTAAAAAAGAAAGAAAAAAAATCAAAGGGGGCCAATAATTCTGACTTCAACTGTATGTTACTGTACTTTAAAATGAATGAATTTATTATAATAAATGTACTTGCATTTAGTAAATTTCCAAATACTGTAGTGTGTTTGAATCTTAATTTAGAAAATATATCAGTAGTTAACAATAATGTGGTAGTTTGTGATCTACTACAAGTCTAGTAACTACTATATTAAAATAAACTACTATTAGTTAAATTGTTAAAGTAAATTTGTACAGTATGTGTGATACAGTTACCATTTTTGTTGTAGTGTAGTGTAAAGTAGTTACTTCAGGGGCATTTTAGACCTTATAACCATCCCTGTGTTTTTTTTTTTTTGTTTTTTTTTTTGGTCATTTGCTAAAAAGAGCAGCTGTTGTAAACCATTTTACTACATTATAATACACTAAAACACACTGTTAGCATCTCTTTTTTCCCACCATACAGCAACTATTTTTAGTTTTCAGTTCACTACAGTTTTTTTATAGTATGGTGTATACATTAACAATTATAGTAAACTCAATATTATGCAGCATACCACAGTCTACTAGTTTAATACACAGTTGGCAACAATTGAAGTGGATCAAAACCTTTTATCAAAGTTGTCAAACTTATTTACAGCACTCATTATTGTCTTGGGGCAATTTGGAAAAAGCTTTTTGATCCACTTTAAATGTTGACTACTGTAGTAACTTGTAAATGTAGTATTTGCTACAGCTTATCAATTTAATGATTATTATTATAATGTGCTGCAGTAAGTATAAGTAGAAAATATTGTAATGTGGGTAAGAACAACTTTTTGACGCATTGGATGGCTATTATCAGTATTTTATAACAACATTAGCTATTACACGTTTACATATGACTATTGTTACTATATCTTAAACATGGCACAAATGTGGTTACTTGTAGTGAAACCATGGTCCTTTTTTGTTCGTTATGTTTAGAACCACAAATGGGTTTTTGTTAATGCTCTGCTGTCCATCTTTAAGTATTTAGATTGAGTCGAAGACTGACATTTAATCACATCAGTTATTTAATTCTGTTCATTCATTCATACATATTCTTTTGGGCTTAGTCCCTTTATCATTCACAGCGGAATGAACCACCAACTTATCTAGCATATGTTTTACACAGTAGATGCCCTTCCAGCTGCAACCAGTCACTGGGAAACACCCATACACTCACACATTCACTATTGCCAATTTAGCTTATCCAATTCACCGACAGCGACAGCACGTCTTTGGACTTGTGGGGGAACCCGGAGCACCCGGAGGAAATCCACGCGTTTAACCCACATGTAAACTCCACACAGAAATACCAACTGACCCAGCCGAGGCTCGAACCAGCGACCTTCTTGCTGTGAGGCGCTACCCACTGCGCCACCGTGTCACCTAATTCTGTGTTCATTGTGTTATTTCATTTTAACTTGTAGTTACTGTATATCTGTTCTCTAGGTGTGTTTGGTTTTGAGACAAACGGAGTGAAGTCGGTGTTAGTGATGGAGGGAGATTCTGTCCCTCTATACACTTGTCAGAAGGACACACAAAAATATGAAACCATACTGTGGACTTATGGATCTGAAGATGCCGTCATAGCTTTTTTCAGCAGGGGCAAACCATTCTCGTTTCCTGATGGTAATGAGAGATTCAAAGACAGACTCGAGATAGATTTGAACACCGGATCTCTGACCATCAGGAACATCAGAACCAACCATTCTGGAGTCTATAAAGTGGATATGACCAGCACAAGTGGATCCCCATACATAAGGAGATTTAATGTGACTGTATCTGGTGAGTAGCACAATAATAACCATTACCAGGCTTGTTTATTTATTTATTTGTTTATTTAAAAGAGTAGTTAATCCAAACACTACAATTAACCCTTTTATGCTCATTCTTATGTGCTGTTTGGCATGTTTTCATCCACTTTAGGGTGATTTTGAGGCTTAATGTCTGAATCTTTCTCTTGTGTTTTAGCAAATGGAATTATTTTTGGTGGTGACTATTATTATGACACATATTTTTAGAAAATGCTTTGAAATTGTTCAAAAAATTCAACAATACACTCTGGAAAAATATACTACCCTTTCGTTATGTTCGTGTCTTGTTTTGCCCATTGACTTCCATTATAATGACAATTTTTTTGATTGCAAAGACATACACCATATAATTATGCATTCTTGATTGTTGCAGGTTTTTCCTGTTGGGGAGAGTGACAGTTGGTAATTTTTACTGTTGATCATCAGTTGCAGTTAAAAAAAAAGCTTATTATAAAGTTAACCATGTAAAACATTCAACATTTTATATAACATTATATGGTTAACGAGTGAAACGTATGTGAGAGTGTGAGGGAGACCTTATTAGCCCCTGAAAACCTTAAAATACACCTGAAAAGCTAATATTAGTACAAAAAAATGGTAACGGTATCACACGTAGATGGTAGGAGTAAGTTTACTTTAACAATTGATTTACTTTAGTAGTTACTATTAGGGATGCTCATTTCGGTTAATTTTGCCAACCAACAACTGAAACTCGTAAGCGAATATTAATCGTTAACTGGTCAGATTATTATTAAAACATTATTTAAAAAAATAAATTATTGAAATGTCTATTATGTGTCTGACATTAAATATTGCATTTTAAAATACTGATTTATTTCCATGCAAACAACTGCACACAGTACATATTAACATCTTCATGCGCTTGCAGTGTTTCCAACTGCACAGAAATAAAGAATAATCTAAATAAAAAGAATGAAATAAATAGGCCTGCCTTAAATATTTTTCACGTGAATGACTAATTTACAAAACGAAAACACTGACTGAATCCTTTTTAAGAACTGGCGTTTTTTTTTTCCCATCATACGTTTTTTCTTCTGTCAAATAAAAATAGCAGGCTACCTTAAATTGATCGCTCCAGAAAACAAGCATTTGCATTAATTAATGAACCGCCTCCGATTACATTTGATTTAAGAATGACAAAGACATGACTGATGTAATATGCTTTTTTTTTTTTATTTCAACTGCGAGCACACAATGTGCAACAGCAAAAACTTGAGGCGTGCAGGGCTCATAAGCAGCGTGCAAAACACTCTCAGCTGTTAGTAAAACATTTTAAAAGATGGGCCTTTCAACGCAAAAAGCGCGTTCTCTATGATTGGCCCCTAATGCAACCAATTAAAAAATATATATAAAATAATATTTTTTTAATCGTTTAACTGATACCATTACTTGGCTAAAAACGCACCCTTTCGGTTAACGGTTAATCGATTGTTTTAAGCATTCCTAGTTACTGTACGTGTCGTAGACCCTAACGAACTATCACGTTATTGTTATTTACTAAAACATTTTCTAAATTAAGCATAAAAACACTACAGTATTTGCAAATTTACTAAATGTAAGTAAATTCATTATAATAAATTTAAGGTAAAATAGAATAAACAGCTCAGCTCTCAGAACGTAGTAAACAAAGTAAGTGTATTGATGCACACATGCTAGAATTTGTTGTTTTACTCCATTGAACTCCATTTAAAACTTTATAGCACAGGCCTATCTAAAAAGTTATGGTGCCAACTGATGATCAGCAGTAAAAATAAAAGTTTTTCCTTTTCCCAAAAGGTAAAAAAACACCAACAATCAAAAATGCATGAATATTTAGTGTCATGGCTTTGCAATTTAAAAAATGTTGTTATACTGGAAGTCAATGGGGCAAAAACATTCATTAACATAACATAACAGGGTAGTAAATTGAAAAAGTACAGAACGGTTAAACCTGTAAAAGTGTCTTTCTTTTGTTGAACACAAAAGTAGATCCTTGGAAAAATGCTTGTTGCTGGCACCCGTTGACCTCCATAGTAAGAAAAAAAAAATGACTGTGGAAGTCAATGATTGTCAACTACCTTATCTATCTAATTCTATTCATCTAATTTTATGTACAAAACACAAATGAAACTCAAACGTCAAGCTGTGAGTAAATGATTTATTTTGAAAATGAAATAAAATGTTTATTATTATACAAATCATGTTCAAGTGTTATAGAAATTTCTAATACAAACATAATTGGAAAAACCTTTATCGTTTTATTTAAATAAAAACATGCCTTTTAAGCAAATTAGACCACAATATCACAATAGATTTTAGATTAAAATAATTGCGTAAACAGGCCCATAATTCATACCTAAAATAATCAGCACTCACAATATGCATTTATATAAATGTTTTGATTGGGTTGAGCATTTGGCCCTAAGATCGGATCTCAGATCCTAGTTTGTACAACCTGTAAAGTAGAGCTGCACGATATTGAAAAAATCGAATTTTGCGATTTTTTTTTTTTTTTTTTTTTTTTTTTTTTTTTTTTTTTTTTTTTTTTTTTCTGCAATAAATATTGTGATATGAATACAGTTTAACCAAACATTTTGAATAGCTCTATTTGGGTTTTCTAGGGAGTCTAACAGTATTCAAAAGTCTAATAACAATGCAAAATGTGTATTTCTTACTTTTGCCTTCTCATTTTTAGTCCAAATACCTCATAATTTTAAGATCAAGTAAAAATACCATTTTGTTTTCACCTTCAAAAGAAATGTCAAAATGAATAGTTTTTCCTTGAAGCAAGCAAAATGATCTACTAATAGATAGATGACATAATCTTGTTTTTGCTCTGAAATGTCAATATTTGGACTAAAACAAAACAAAAATGAAAGTAAGAATTTGTTTTTGGCAGAAATTGCATAAATTCTCTACAAATCTTTGTTACCCCTGCAAACATCATATTTGTTTGTGTCCAAATGTTCAAAACTTGAAATGCTCAGTCACAGACTCAACATTGCATATCTTGCGTTGTGACTATTGCAGATGCACACATTGCTATGTTGAAACGATATATTGTGCAGGTCTTCTGTAAAGCACATTAAGTAAGACATTAACCATCCTATAATATATTAACAATGTTTTATATATATTTTAAAGTCGGCATGAACCAGAAGTTGCTGAGACGTTTATCTCAGTATGCTGATGTACTTCCAACTGAAACAGAATATTGATGGGGGTGGAGCTTTCTAGTTGCGCATCATTACCTCATAGACTGATTTCACGCGGCCGCCATTTTTAAAAGCGAAATCAAGGCTGCGGTGGAAAGAAACCCGGAAGTATCATTGGGAGTTGCATAGGAATGTTGTGTAACTGGCTATATATCTTATCAGTGAAGAGAAAGTGACAAAAATGTATCATTCCACTGCCTTCCAGGTGACCCAGAGGTCCGTTCTGAATGAATGGTGAATATAAGGGATATCAGAGCTCATTTTCATCTTAGTTAAGGGAAATGGCACTAGTTCGCTAATGTTTTCTTTCCCAAACACACGTTTTAGATGCCATTCATCAAACTCGAGTTAATAAACTGATTTTTTTTATTATATTAGACTCGTCACGATACTGAATTAAAAGAAAAAAACATAAATTTACCGCGAACATTAATGCACTGTTGATGGCTTAAAACAATGCTAATATGCCATTGTGGTCACGTGTTCAACAGAAATTATTGTGATTGGCCGAGAAGATCATCAGTTCACCCTCCGCGCTTCCATGTTAGCGGGAAATAGCCGGGTTTAAAACTTCAGTACCGGGACAACACTATTACAGACAACACGAGGGTGTGCTGCAGAGGACTGCAGTGTTTTATTGCTCACCGGGTTACATAGGCTGAAGCAGGAAAGCATCCCCACTGTGTTTAACTAGTGCCATGAACTGAAGCCTAGGAGGACACTTAGGCCATGTCCACACTAATGTGTTTTCATTTAAAGACGCATATTTTTGTCTCCATTTTGCCCTTCCATCCACACTGAGACGCGTTTTTAGGAAACAAAAACGTATCTTTTTGAAAACGATCTCCAAAGTGAATAAATTTTAAAACGCTGTTTTCGTGTTGTAGTGTAGACCGTGAAAACGGAGTCATTCGAAAACGATGACGCATTTTTTGTCATGTGACACTCAGTCATATTACTAATTCGTTTACTTTATTTTCGTTGTGAGTATGATTTTAGTGATGTCGTCCTTACTGTGTGGGTAAGCAGCGTCATCAGCAGGATACTGTTCTTTAAAGCGGTCCAGTATATCGGCGTATTTGTTTTGGCACGTCAAAGAAAAAAAAAACGTTTCAAAGAGCCGGAAAGAAAATAAACGTCAGCCGGAAATGACGCGTGCCGAAGCGTCTTACGTTTCACGCATGCGCAGTACAGGTTGAAAGCATTTGTAGTCGTTTCAGTGTGGATGACAAAGTTTTGGAAAACGAATAGAAACGACAGTGTGGACGTGAAGCGTTTTTAGAGGAAAACTCCGTTTTCAAATTTATCCGGATTAGTGTAGACATGGCCTTAAGCGTATCACTGAGATGATGTTGTTTGATTCTAAACTGCTTTTAATTGTTTAAATTAAATTAACTGAATGATATTAAACTGATGTTTACACCATTTCTGCATTTTGAAATTTCGGCAACAGCTGGAGGTTTGTAGTACATGTCATGTTACTGCAATGTTTACAGTGCTGGTCCTATACTTCCGGGTTTCTTCCCACCGCAGCCTCGCTTTGGTTCTTTAAAATGGCGGCCGCGTGAAATAAGCGTATGGCAAACTAAAGGTAAAAGGATCGTGGTTAAGAATATTGTGGCTGAAGCGTCAAACTGACATCATCAGAGAATTGCCACCACACTAAACACAGAAGAAAATGGTCAGACTTTGATTTTAAGCTTACCAAAACTAAATTTTTTGCAGTAGATTAACTTGCACAGATTATTTTGATTTCACACAGACTGTAAAGTAGAGCTGCACGAATCTGGCTAAAATGAGAATCGCAATATTTTTTTTGCTGCTCTACTTTAAAGGATGTCTATCTTTTGTGATGTATATAATGATGCAATTACAGCGCAATAATCAACTGTGATTGTTTTCCAGCTGTGTTTGATCCAGATGCAGATAAAATAATCCAAAAGGTAGTGAGTGAAGGAGGTTCAATCACTCTGAACACTGATGTTCAAGTACAGAAAGATGTTCTGATACTGTGGAGATTCGCAGGAACCAAACCCGGCGTATACAGTAGAAACAGCATGACTACCATCTGTAAAATTGATGGAGAAGCCTCCGAAGAGTTTTTTGATCATGGTGAAAATGAGAAGTTTAAAAACAGACTGGATATGGACAAACCGACTGGATCTCTGATCATCAAAGACATCAGGCTAGAACACTCTGGGTTTTACAAACTACAGATCAGCAATAACACTTTGACCAGACACAGGACATTCAACGTTACTGTTAGTGGTGAGTATCGTAAAGTTGATTGTGTTGTGTTCAGGCTAATATGAGAAGTGTTCCCAAACTCTGTGCTAATTTCTGATCATTTCTTTTAGCGGTTACGAAATCCTGTTTACAAGGCACTTGGATGACCGTCGCTATAGTATTCATGGTGTCTTTTGTGATAATGGTGGTTATTGTGGTTGTTATACAAAGGAATGGTAAGTACCATTTTTTTTTTCTGCAACCCAGGCTCATTGTAAATATGTGCATTATGCTACATTTTTGCTACATTTTGAATACGTTGCTCCGGTTACGTTTCATTGCACATTTCAGATGACAAATTCACTAGAGAGTGCTTTTTTAATTTTTTGTGAATTACTTAGAATGTGTTTTGTTGTTTCTGAAAAATGTCCTGTGATTGAAGCAAATTAGATCACAACACATTGTTTTCTTCATGGCACCTGAGCACTCTGCTTCACAACTACAGCCCCGTACAAAGCTACAGAGCAGACTGACCACAACAGGAACTTGTCTTATGTAGATAGACAGACAGACAGATAGATAGACAGACAGACAGACAGACGGATAGATAGATAGATAGATAGATAGATAGATAGATAGATAGATAGATAGATAGATAGATAGATAGATAGATAGATAGATAGATAGATAGATAGATAGATAGATAGATAGATGCACAGATGGATGGATGAACAGGCAGACAGACGGACGGATAGACAGACAGATAGACGGATAGACGGATGGATGGATGGATGGGCGGGCGGGCAGGTGGACGGACGGATGAATATATAGGCGGGCAGACGGATGGATAGATAGATAGATAGATAGATAGATAGATAGATAGATAGATGCACGGATGGACAGGTAGGCGGACGGACGGATAGACAGACGGATGGATGGATGGATGTGCGGGCGGGCAGGTGGACGGATGGATGAATATATAGGCGGGAGGACGGGCGGACGGATAGATAGATAGATAGATAGATAGATGCACGGAAGGACAGGTGGGCGGACGGACAGATAGACAGACAGACGGACGGACGGATGGATGGATGGATGCATGGACGGGCGGACGGACAGATGAATAGATAGGCGGGAGGACGGGCGGACGCATGGATTGATGGACAGGCAGGCGAATGGGCAGACAGACAGACAGAGATAGAAGGATGGACGGATGGATGGATGGGCGGGCGGAAGGATGGACGGATGAATAGATAGGCAGGAGGACGGGTGGACGGACAGACAGATGGATAGATGGATAGATAGACAGACAGACGGACGGATGGATGGATGGATAGGCAGATAGATAGATAGATAGATAGATAGACAGACAGACAGACAGACAGACAGACGGATGGATAGATAGATGGACAGATAGATGTACAGATAGACAGACTGATAAACTGACAGATAGATAAATAGATGGATGGACAGACACGGATGGATGAATAGATAGGCAGGAGGACGGATGGACAGACAGATGGATAGATAGACAGACAGACAGACAGACGGGTGGATAGGCAGATAGATAGATAGACAGACAGACAGACAGACAGACAGACAGACGGATGGATAGATAGATGGACAGATAGACAGACGGATAAACTGACAGATAGATAAATAGATAGATGACAGACAGAGATAGATGGATGGACGGAAATTTATCTAAAATGTTGTTTTGGTCATTCTAAAATCCCTCACCCAAATCTGTCATCACAGTGCTTCAGTAATATTGCCTCTAGAACTTTCTTGAGCATCTGCGCTCCCAATTAGTGCCTAATGCGTCTAAAAGATTCCACATGTTTAATGCTTTTCATGTTTGAGGTGCAAGTAGTTTGTTATACAAGACAAATTATAACTTTTCCTACTGCAGCACATTTCATTTTTCTCTTTATTTGCTTCAAAAAATATTTGCAAAGGTTTTTTTTTTTTTATAAAGGAAGCAAATATTTTTTGTGCATAAGTTTAATTTGCATCTTGGGATTGAAACATGGCTACTGATATTAGTAGCTATGTTTCCAATTCCAACCACCTATTTTTATGCGCATTTTGGATATGTGCTTAAAAAAGTGGTTGATGGAAAGGCCAAGATGCGCATACATTTTGAAATTGCGCCTAAAAACATGCGCATAACTAAGTAGGATAAACCTTTAATTCGATAAGAAAAGATGCGATGTGAACACTTTTACCTAACAAATTCCAGCATGTGCATTAAAAAAGGTCATGTGATTTTGTTATGAGAGATCATGTGATGATAAAAAAATGTGTGTGAATGGATGAACCAGCAGACTGAGCACATTGTAAACCATCTGAAAGGTTGTTTTTGTCCTTCTAAAACGCCCTAACCATCTCAGTATGATCATATTATTAATGACCTCCAGAACTGTCAAGAGCGTCTGTGCTTCACGTCTCACGCCTTCAAACGCCACTGCGCTTTCACTGCGTGTCAGGATTATTTTCTGAAGCGCAAGTCATTTATTAAATGAAGAAAAGATTCATGCAGCTTCTCCTACTGCAGCTGTTTTTTTTTACTGTTGATATTTGGAGCCAGATAATCAGGAAGTGACGATATTGTTCTTTTTGACTCGTTTGATACAAACGCTGCTTTATTCAAACATCTTTCATGCGACAATCCAGCTTTGCGCATAAAGTTCATTCGCATTTTTGGATGGTAACATAGCTGTTGAGATGTGCACAACGATGTTCTTGAGTTATTGTTTAGTGTTTTTGCATTTATTCACAGTTTGGTTCAGTAAAGGAAGCACACCTAGCCCTGTGAAATACGCGAGGCCGGATGAGAGAGGTGAGTGTTTCTTTCAACAATATTACCAAGCTTCCTGTGTTTTAGTAGAAATGCATAGTAGTGTGAAATATTGACTTTCATATTGTCTTATTGATAAAATGTTGTTCAACTGAGTCTTTTCATGAAACAGAATAAATTAACAAATCCAAAGAACACAAGACCCTTCAGTCTACAGAGTCAAAGTAAATATAAAGAGGAGCCATCTGTATAAAAACATGTCTGTAAAAACAATGTCTGTATAAAAACACATCGTCATAGGAGTTTGGGAAACAGACTGTTGCTGGACAATCAGACTGGATCTTTGACCATCATAGACTTTAAAACTGAAAACACTGGAAAATGTCAGCTGCAGAGTAAGGGTTGCTGGAAATGCAAAGTTTCTGTTGTTGATGAGAAGTGCAGCTCCAGTTGCATGAACTGTTTGGACTGGTCTTAGAAAGCTGGTCTTTACTTTTTCAGTTTGTTACACAAGTCGACTGGTCTGATTTGAATCTGAAAAGTTAAGCTGCATCCCAAATCGCATACTTATGCACTATTCTACGCCATTTTGTAGTATAAGTAGTGTAAGTAGTGTGTTCACACTGAAACCACTTTAATTACCCTGATGATGCACTCATTCAGTTGGTAAAAGGAAGTGTGGAATGATGGACACTTCACGCACTCAACGACCACAGGTTTGCCTACATAGCGGAAGGGGCGGAGCTATCGGGCCCACAAGCTGGATAACTTTATTATGGATGGTGAAAGCAAAATTCTCCTACTAGAGTGATTATAGCGCCTCCCGATGGTGAATGCGGTAATACTCACGCAGGTATTATTTTAAAATTCGGTCAATTAAAATTTCACTGATTTGGCAACCGTCAAATGTCATTAGGGAAACGGTTTGAATTTCCACTTAGTAAAAAAAACATAAGTGTGCCATATGGGTCGACACTACATACACATACTATCCTGTTGAGTGTGTAAGTGCATAAGTAAATAGTGCATAGTGTATAGTGTTTGGGACGCAGCTTTAGACTTGGTGAAGTACTAGTAGAACACATTAGCCCCTTTCACACAGTGATACCGGTAAATATCTGGAATTTTCTGAACGACTTAACCGGTAAATTAAAAAAAAGCGATGTTCACTCAGGCAAGGACGTTACATATTTTATTTTTCCAGGAAAGACTGTTCACACATCCATTTCAAAGTACTGGTAAATTCTGACATCATCAACCAGAAATGAGCTCTAAACAGCTGCGCTTGTATTTGTAAACATTTGACTACAGTACAAACTCTCTGGATGAATCAGTAATGTGAACAACTTCGATGAAAACATATGGAGGAACACTTTCACATGTTGAGATGTACATGATGTGTGTGTGTATGCTGGCGCTCATGGGCACACGTGACATATCAAGCAACTGAAGTAAGCAGAGCTTGAAGGTAAACAACGGCTTATCATAAGCATCTTATCCATAATTATTTACAAAGTTGGCATTAAGATGAACATATAAACATTATCAGACTAACTTCTAGCAGCTAAATGTGTCTGGGAAAATATTCAAGGGTTTTTATTCTCATAAACCAAATGGACTTGAATGCGTCTGACTGTTCTGATTGGCTAAAGCAGACGTCTCACATCAGTTGGTTCTAGACGTGCACGCGCTGTTTCCGGCAATCTTCCTTCTGCGTTCACACAGCGCAGCATTCCGGCAAATTACCGGTAATGTTACAACTTCTCTTTCCGGAAAATAGCCTGAACGAATTTACCGGTATTTTCAAAAAGGGCCTGTTCACACATACAGACCTTTCCGGAAAATTACCAGCAATTTTCCAGAAAAGTCTGTATGTGTGAAAGGGGCTAGTGATTATGTTTTCATGGACATCAGTAATGGAATGATTTGTGACAATAGGTTTAAGGTCTTTACACGAGTTGCTTTTTGAAATGTTCCTTTCATGATCCCGTATTACATGTTATAGCACATAATTTGATTAATGTCAACACACTATCCACACTTCCTCTGGAGTTTCATGTGATTTTAAGTGTTTCATTTTTAATTTGTCGACTTTAACTGTAATTTGGCACTTTTACTTTCATTCAGGAACATTTTATGCATGCCCCCTATTACAAACGAAATATTGGATGCGAGTATGAACTGCTGGAAGAGTGTTAGGGGTATTAATGGAATTTTATACCGCACACTGTATGGGGAAAAAAAAAACTTACATTTTGCAGTGTGTGTGTCTGTGGTCCTTCACTGAGCCAGTAGGTGCTGAGAATAGTGTCAAACGGCCGTGGGTGACTATCGTCGCAAAATGGGGTGTAAATCCTACATGACTTAAAAAAGATTGCGGTGTTTACATGTCTGTGATGCACTTCAATAATGCGACTGAAATATGAACACTCCACATGTCTTAATTCCATTTCTGTTTAGTTCAAATAGGACTTTTGTCGGATAATGGTACGCAAAAATTGCTGTTTAAATGGTGGACTCTTAATCAGAGTATTGCCGGCAGCTAGCTCTCTGCAACTTTCATTTGGTCACACATGTTGGTTTCACATAAAGCTAAGCAGGGAAGCGCCCAGTCAGTACCTGGATGGGAGACCAGATGGGAAAGCTAGATTGCTGCTTGAAGTAGTGAGACAAGCAGGGGGCGCTCAACCTGTGGTCTGTGTGGATGCTAATGCCCCAGTATGATGAGTGGGACTCTATACTGCTCTGTGAGCGCCGTCTTTCGGATGGGATGTTAAACAGAGGTCCTGACTCTCTGTGGACCTTAAAAATCGCAGGATGTTCTTCGATAAAGAGTAGGGGTTTAACCTCAGCATTCTGCCAAATTTGCCCACTGGCCTCTGTCTATCATGGCCTCCTAACCATCACCATATCATAATTGGCTTCATCACTCTGTCTCCTCTCCACCAATCAGTTGATGTGTGGTCTGTCGCAACATGGCTGCCGTCGCATCATCCAGGTGGATGCTGCACACTGGTGGTGGACGAGGAGATTCCCCCCAATTTGTTAAAGTCTTTTCAGTGTCCAGAAAAGCGCTATATAAATTTTAGAGATTATTATTATAGTATTGTCGTAATCATATTAGAAATGAATTATTGGTGTCCATGTAAGCGTACTCCGTGTTAACACATTGGCTTTGTTTATGCACACACACTCAATATATATTTAACATTTAAAAACACACTCTAAACTTATTAAAGAGTTAACATTCACCAACACAAAGTTTTAATTTATGAATTTGTTGTCAATTATTGAATGCATTAAATATATCTTTTATCACATTAAATCAAACACAACAGTAAATATCTTGCTGTTCCAAGATCCACATTAAAGTTTGTTTTTTGTTTAAGGAAATCTGAAAATCTAGACATCCTAAACATTTTTTCATTAAACACATGGAGTTTATGCCGTAGCCATTTTGATTTTCTGTTGATGCTAGATGCTAATGCTTCAATCAATTTGCACAGAAATTGGATAATTCTGTTGACATCATTTAAAATATAAAAGTATTAAATGTACCTGTACCTGTCTGACAGTTATGTACTATGGAGAGGTGGACAAGCAGTGACAACTGCTTCTGATATTGGCTGATTTATTACAGTTTGTGAAGAGATGCTTTAATAAGATGATAAGCTCTATTGAATGATATGAATGACTGAACCCGTCTTTGTGGACACCGTTTTAGATGCAGTGTAGAGAAAACTAAAAGTTCCACACTGTACATTCAGTAAAATAATAAAACTGAGGGGTTGGTTGTGTTAGACTTTATTATTTAATCTCTCATAACATTTACAATTTTAATTATTTTCATTTTTAAACATCCTAAAGGCAAATAAAGTTGAGAATCATCTTAGTAATCATAAATATATACATTATATGCATATCTATGCCTCTAAACACTCATTAATGATGAAGTACTGATTAAATGAAAGTATATACTGTATAGTTATTATACATGGCTTAATCTTGAGTTTCTCAGGATGCTGATGTAAATTTCTGTAAATATTCATGATATAAAAAGGTGCATCTGCTATGTTAATGTGAATGTGTGTGTTTTCACATAAGCTAAAGTGTACATGGCAGGCTATTTTTATTTGCAGATGTCACTTTTTGGCCAGTTTTATTGCTTCCTGTTTAAGGGACTTGCTTAATTGTGTATCTATAAAGGCACTTTCTCAGAGTATGTAACCAAATAAAAGCAGAAACCACAGTTTGCTGTGCTTTTATTTCTGCTTCAGTGCTGAAATACTTAAAATCAAGTACTGCGTTTTATTTTTTGTAATTTTTTTTAATTAAACGTGCTGCTAAATGGACATGTGCATTTTACACTGTTTTTGTATCAGTTTTGCTATTAGTTGTCATGAGATCTAATGTTAATATGTTAATTTTATTATGGAGATCTAAAGTGGCCTACTGCTGATCATTATGCTGTTATTGGGAATAACAGGTTGTTTCGTGTTTACTGTAAACCTCAAAATATGTATACATGAGAACTGTGATGATAAATAAAGTTTTCGCATCTAGTTTTTTTGTGTCTGTATTTGTATTTGTCATAGTGATGGATGCTCCTATACGTGGCGTTAACCTGTTGATCTGCATCAATACTTTTGGAGTTCGCACCTGAAACTTCATTCATTTTCTTTGGCTTAGTCCCTTTATTAACCCAGGGTCGCCACAGTGGAATGAACCGCCATCTTATCCAGAACATGTTTTACGTAGCGGATGCGCTTCCAGCTGCAACCCATCACTGGGAAACACCACACACACTCAATCACACATGCTCTACTATGGCCAATTTAGCGTACCCAATTCACCTATAGCAAATGTGTTTGGACTGTGGGGGAAACCGAAGTACCTGGAGGAAACCCGTGTAAACATGGGGAGAAATGCAAACTCCACACAGAAATGCCAACTGAGGCTAGAACCAGCGATAATCTTGCTGTGAGACTATCGTGCTACCCACTGCGCCACCAAACAAGTTGTTACAAAATTACATGGAACCTCTGTGCACTTTTAGATAAGAATAGCAAAACTTTGTTGACGCAATAGCCTAGAGGTTAGCACGTCGACATATGGTGCAGTAGCACGTCAGGGCGTCCCGTGTTCGAATCCCAGCTCAAAGGCTTTTTCCTACCCTACCCCCTCTCTCTCTCCAACTTCTAAATACTGTCCTATCTAATAACGACAAAAAGAACAAGAATTAATCTTTAAAAAAGAATAACAAAACTTTTGAGCAAAATTTGTTTATTAATTGAATCATTAAAAATGGGGAGTACCATGTACACAAACAAAAATGGTGCAATGCTAAACCTAGCATTTATTTGTTTAAAATTGATCTTAAGCATTATTTCGAAACCCTAAAAGACATTTAAAAATAAAAAAAGCTATAAGGATGTATGCAATTTTGGAATCCTTTATCTTATGCAAATTTTTTGTCATTTGTATGCCCTGTTCTACTGAAAAAAATTGTAAGCATTGAATTTCTCATTTTTTGTACGCTAACACTGCGCCACCATGACGCCCGCATCTGAAACTTAGACGGTAATATTTCTGAGCGATTGCTACAAACGAAGTTCTAATTTCTAAAAACGCTTTTGAATTTTGCAATTGTACTCAGTGCATAACATGATTTATAAACAAAAAAACTTATAAATCTTTTTTTTTTTTTTTTTTTTTTTTTTTTTTTTTTTTTGCACTCATGAAACATTTAAATTTTATTTTGAAAAAGTGTTAAATGGTTTTGCAATCTCTTTGAACACAGTTTAGGTATCACTGTCCAATCAGCTTACAAAAGATGATTTTCATCATAGTTGACCTTTTAAATCTTAACAGCATGTGTTTGTTGCTATCTATAACTGTTATAGTTCTTTTAATCATGTTTCTAAATACTAAATGTGTCGCTTTAAGTTAGTTTAACATAATTCAAGTTAGAAAGACTAATAAAGTAAATTTAATTTAGTTTAAAAATGCTCCCGTTTGTTCGCGTGGGTTTCCTCCAGGTGCTCCGGTTTCCCCCACAGTCCAAAGACTTGCGCTGTAGGTAAATTGAATAAACTAAGTTGGCTGTAGTTTACGTGTGTGAATGAATGTGTATGGATGTTTCCCAGAACTGGGTTGCAGCTGGAAGGGTATCCGCTGTGTAAAACATATGCGGGATAAGCTAGCGGTTCATTCCGTGGTGGCGACCCCCTAATAAACAAAGGGACTGAGCCAAAACTAAGAAAAATAAATGAATGAACTTAAAAATTCCTGCCTTTTTTTTTTGTACATCCCTTACCTTGGCCAGTGGTTCCCAAAGTGGGGGTCTCGGGACAATGGGGGTCACTTGGTGATTTCCATAAGTCAAATAAATTTTGTTAAACTATTAGAATTACTGTATTTTAACCATAACTCACTGAAGATAAACGTAGTAGTTTTTAATAGATAAAAACAAAAAACATGCAAATGGAAAGCCATCAGCCTTTCAATTATTTTTATAGGATTGGTGTTTTTACGTTAGATTAACAAGACAGCAGTAGCGTCAGCTGCAGCATATTAATTTTACAGCACCAGGTTAAACTTTCTGACACCTTTATGGCAATCGAAGACATTAAAAATAAATACAGGCCACAACTGAACATTGTGATGATCTCAGATTGGCGGTGTCCAAAATTAATTCAAGTATAGCCTTGTGCTGAAAACATTGTGCCCACCAGTCGCTTTAGCTGAGGTTAATATAAAATAAAACAAATTAATAAATGACTATAAAACTGATATGGTTGTTAGACTGTTGCACTTTGCTGTTGTCAATATACTTGTGTTTATATAGGGCTTTTGTTGTGTGTGCAACATTTGTACATTTATAACCACCTCAGATGAATTTGGGGGTCGTGAGTCACTGGCATTGTTATTTTAGGGGTCGTGGGCTGAAAATTTTGGGAACCCCTGATCTAGACTATAATGTTCAAGAAGACAGAAGGGTCAAAAACAGTGCAGCATTAAACACACTTTATTTAATATAAAAACAGTCCTGGAGCAATCTAGAAACAATACGAAGAGAAAAGAGTGTGTCCTACAGGTGGTTTGTAAAGCCCACTCACCTGCTAGAAGCACACAGTTTTTCAGAAACTATTTTCCTGTCCATCATCAGATGTTCAAGGTGTGAAATGAAGAGGTCAGTGCTGGTTATGCCAAGCAAAGAAGCAGTCACGTTTCGGCTGAAAGCACATCGCCACTAAACAAGTCTTGCAATAAATTGGTGTTTTTTGTCCACAAACTTTGCAATTGCGCCTTCCTTTGGTGCTGTCTGAAGCAAAGTATCCTGGTAAGTGCCGAGTGTCCTCGGGAGGAGACGGAGGAGATGATGGAAAATCTGGAAGCACCAATATGGCAAGTTCCTCAAAGAGTTTTTCTCTGCACTGCTTGTGTGTCATTGGCTTTTGCTTGTTCGTAGCTGCCATTTCACGATGTAAGACGAAGGCGTTTGCGATGGCTATGTCCACACAGTCGTAGAAAAACCTACGATACCACTTTCTTGTCTTGTGTGACACTGAGTAATAGCGGAAGAGTGTTTCCGTTGCAACTGCTCCACCCATGCACCTGAAAAGACATAACAAAATGATCAGACTTTAGACTGAAAGAGCAGAACTATACCTTCAATATCTTGTGATTGTTGCTGTCTAGGATGAGGGAGCTCTTAGATTTGATCTGAAATATCTTCAATTGTGTTCCCAAAGATGAACCAAGGTCTCTGAGATTTGAAGGACATTAGGAGGAGTAATTAGATAACATAACTTTCATTTTTTTGGGAGAAAGGTCTGGGTGCAGATTTACACTTGCAATTTCAGGCTTGCACTCTCAGTCAACCGCGCTTCCTCTGCAAGTGTCATTTAAAGTCGACATCTGCACTGTCCAGTTATGTCAGAAGTTTCCAGTTTGTTTGCGTTGTCATTGACGTGGTTGTATAATAATTCAAAGTACTTCAATTTTATATCATGACCGATCCTGCCCACCCATGAAAGTCCTTACCCAAAATAACCCCCAGTTTGATGCCCTTGGTAAAATTAGGTTGCAAAAACAAAACAAAAAAGCCAAAAAGATTAACTTGAGGAATTTAAGGCTGCCATTAAGTATTTCCCCTTAGTCCTTAACAATTTTCTCTTAAAACATTTAAAGGACCAAATCAGCTCCCGTAAATGAACAAATAGCACTCAATGCAAGCATTCTCACCTAAATAAAATGTGTTAGATAAAAGACAAACAGGACTGTAGATAAATAATTTAATAAATAAACTAATATAGACATGTTGATAAGTTAGCACGTCAGCGCAGGAGTGCATTTTTATGAAATCGCAGTTTCGGTGCAGCTTCAAAATCTATACATGATCCCAGCCCATTTTTATAGGTCCTCCAAACGTAATGTCGATGAAGGAACGTCTCGACTCGATTAACGGAAAGAAAATAGCACAGATGATGTGTACTGCAGAGCTGTTGTTAGGCAAGCATTCGTAGTTTGTTACGATCTGTTTAAATTGCTATAGCAACTGCGGCACTCGTCGCCGTATGTTGCCAGAAACTACAGTGAAACGCTTAGAAAAAAGGCACTTAGGTTACGGTAAGGGGTGACCGTTAAGAAGTTTGTTGCAACACTCTTAATGAAGTCCCCACAGGGACTTTTCCCCTCAGGGACATTTTTAAGTTAAATTACTGAAGGACTTTCATGCAAGCTGGCATGGGCGTCGATTGTTGCCCCCTATTCACACGGGGCGTCACATCAATGCTTCCCATTCACATTAAATGGGTGACATCAGGCGTTGTCGAACTGCATTGCGGATCTGTCGACACCGCTTCAGTAGCGTTGCTTGGTGCAGAAGTTGGAACTCTCAACTTTATAAGCGCAGGCGGAAGTGTCAGCCAATCAGATCGCTCTATGCAAATACACCAGCTCAGAGAGTAGACGATTTTTGACTAATTTCATTGACTGACGCTTCAATGACGATCGCGTCAGACAAGCTCTCTGTGAAGCATTGACGCTGAAACCCTGTGTGAATTGAGCATGAAAGTGCAAGTGCAAATCTGCAGCCAGACTCCATTGACTTTTTTGGGGGGTTTAACCCTTTACCTTTAAGAATAAAGCCATCTTCCCCAATTAGAACTCTGCAAATAGAGATAGCCCCTCTAGGGGCTTTTTTCGGAAGCTTGTTGACCGTGGTTTTAGGGTATCCCGGCCTATTAGACCAAACAGTCCCACAAGCTCAGATATTTTTCCTCAGAAGATCTCTAAAAAGTGCTGGATTTGTGTTGACTTTGCCGAGTAACAGTTTGTAGCCCGTTCCCAACATCTTCTCATCAACAAGCTCCATGACAGACTCACAACCCAGTTTATTGCTCTGTGGAAACTGTCCTGTCGATTTACTTTCTTGGATGAAGAAGTCCCATGTGTACGCACTGAGCGAGTCGGACAACACAGAAAGATTTCTAGGCTTAGTTTTCACCTTCCTCTCATCGATGGTGATGTTCTGAAAGGGGTGAAAGTTTTTTTTTACATGCTTCTCTTAGCTGTTGATTCATGGGCTTGATCTTGCAGAGGCTGTCGTAGGCAGGTGTTCCCATTTTCTTCTTGTTTTCAGCATCCGCTTCAGGATCACTGAGATGCAGAGTGGAGGAGATGGAGAAGAACCTCCTTGCAGACATGACTTCTGCTGGAAATGGGATTTTGAAGGTGTCAGATTTCCTCCAGTAATCTGTCAGCGAATGCATTTTCAACATGCCCATGTATTTCACAAGCAGCAGATAAGAGTATAGGTCGATCCAGGAGATATCTTTCCACTGGGACTTGGCTTTTTGTTGCTTGGCTCCATAGGCGTTGGTGTTTTGCACAATTGTCTGCACTACTGATGGAGAGATGAAGAGCTGAAACAATTTCAATACACTGTACGATGCAGAGGGGTTTAACTGTGGGCCTGGTCTTCGAGATGCTTTGAAGACTGCAGGCCGAGGTGTTATATCCTCATCAGTTGAATTATTTCACCCCTCCTCGGGTGTACGAGGAACAGGTGGAGAACAGGTTTTGCTGGCTCTCAATCTTGCTGATTGCCTGAGACCTTTTCTTGATGAAACGGATACCGAGTCTGGTAAATCTGAAGGCATCAACTTCTTTTCTGATTGTTGGTTGGTGTTAAAATCCCACTCCTCCTCAGAGGATTCAGCTAAATGCCTGTTGCAAGATAAAACAAACAATATATACAATTAGTATTGTGATAAAGTACATACTTTTTTAGGTTGCATGATTATTTGAAATGAACTTAAGATCGCGATTCAACAAAAGCTATGATTCTCATGCACAACTTCTCAGGGAAACTTTACTTTAAGACCTTAATAGAAACTACAAATATGGCACAAACAAAAGACACAAGCCCAATTCCAACTCTATTTTTGTAACCTTTCCCCTTAACTCTTGAAATAGAGTGTGAAGGGGAAAGGCTTCAAAATTTACACCTAAGAAATGGGACAGCACCTGCACACATCATCATATGTCTATTTTCTTGAAAATTTTATTGAAAATGTTCTCTGGTATTTCGCCACCTTGCCAACATCATCTCGTTGGTTCAAAGAGTTGTTGATAACAAGTTATGCTCTTTCATCTTACGCCCCCGTCTTGGAGTCCGCAGACAGAACACTTGCTTTCGAGGGCTATCTAGCCCTTCCCCTTAGCCCTATGCCTTCAGGCTAAAGAGAACTGGGACACCACTACCCCTTCGTGTGAACATACAAAACAAGGGGTAAGGTTATGGGCTAAGAGGTAGAACTGGGATTGGGCCACAGTAAATCTAACAGAGGACATAACTACTTTCATTGATTTAACGTTACTCTTAAACAAACAACTACAGAATTATCTCACATTGTGATTTATTTAAAGCACTTGACTGAAGTTATGAGGCGAGTAAAAATTAAAAACATGTTTTTATATGTAGTATTTTCACGTTTTCAGAAGTAGCAGTAAAAAGATTCGTAGTTGACAGAGAAGTGGCGCAACAGTTGCCCAATCACAAAATGATAGGGTATGTGCGGAAGTATGCTAAATAACTTTTAATTTGTCAGTAACCTGGCGCTTTCTGTGAACTGTCTGCCATTACAAAATTGCTGCGTTTAAGGTCTGTTTTCTTTAAAAATCAGCGATCTCCACTGGATGAGTGATATCTGATTTAAAGTGGGTATCAGATTGTACTAGAAACAGTGCATTAAATTAAAATTTTCCACGCTACGTCTTTAAAATATGAACATTTACATTAACCCAGTATATTCACTGGTGCATCTGCGCTAGCCTGCTAATTCTGAGGGGCGCATGTGAGTAAACAGCTTTTTTTGTCTCGTTTTCCACTTGTGCTACTAAATGAATGTCAAAGTCTGTTTAACTGATTGTAGTGTAATTACATTACAACATCGATGCTGTAAAAGGAACTGTATAAACTGGAAAAAAGTGACATTAACCGTTCACCGGATGTTTATCAGTATGGGAAGAAACACTAGCTCCGCATATACCCTATTCTTACTGATTTTAGGTACGTGCCGATTAAATTTTCAAGTATCTTTTTTTGCATAGCTCCACAGCGAACTACGGCTGTGTTGAAGTAGTTGCTGAAGATTTACAGCTGATCATAAAGCTGGTTTTACTGCCTAAAGCAGTGTTTCTCAACCATTTTCTTGAAAGACCACCAGTTCTGCACATTTTTTATGTCTCCTTAACCAAACACACCTGATTCAGATTATCAGCTCATTACAGAGACTGAAAGACCTGTAATGGGTGTGACAGATAAAACAGACATCCAAAACATGCAGTGGTCTTCCAGAAACGGGGTTGAAAAACACTGACCTAAAGGACCATGAAAATCGAGAGGGTGCTCGCTGCAGAGCCATTTGAGGAGAGCTGAGCTCCAGCGAGGGGGAGCATGAGCTGTCGCTCCTCCTCCTGTAAGCTGTTTTAATGCGTACACCAACCCCACCCCTAACCCTACCCCCAGTGACATCACTCGTAAAAGAAGTGCAAAAAAGGTGGAGCTCAAGCTTAAGCTCCCCCTCGCTGGAGCTCAGCTCTCCTCAAATGGCTCTGCAGCGAGCACCACTTGTGAAAATCGCCTTCCTGTTGACAAAACATTAACCATTCACTCTGATGGCCGGTCATACAGCCAGTAAAGGCAGCAATATGGCTAGTCATACAGATTGTACTCTGCTAATGGGCTATCATGCAGCTGATGGACCGGGCATTCAGATTGTTTTCTTACTGTTACACAGATGGAAATATTTAAGCTAATGGCCAATCGTACTGGTAATGTTCAGTCATGCATATGTTAATCAGACACAGTTCATGCTAATGGATGGCCATACGGAATAGGACAAAAGAAACAAATGTTTTTATTGTAGGAGCTACTTCACAAAAACAGATCTTTTTTTGTTGTTGTTCTTATTACTCTTCTTGGTAAAAATCATAAAATCGTACACATAAGTAGTGTTTAGAAGTCACAATTTTGTAACTGTAATATCAGGGTTCATAATTTTACTACTAAAATTCCATGACTTTGCCATGATTTTTGCAAGACTTTCAAGTAAATTTCCATGACCCAATGTTTCATGCAATGTCTACATATGCGTGATATATATATATATATGTGTGAAATAATCTAATATATATATATGTAAAATTGATTTAGATAATGCTTACACTGCACTAATAATGTGAGAGATTGTGATTGGCCAAGCACAGAAAAGAAGTTAATATATTCAAGTATACAGATATCTGTTTTCATGACTTTTCAAAAAAAAAAAAAAAAAAAAATTCCAAAACTTTTCCAGATCTGGAAAATTAATTAATAACTATAAATAACTATAAATAATAACTATAAATAACTGAAAACTGGGTTATCTTTCTGTTTGCAAATAAACTCTATATATATGCTAATAAGTCAAAATTATAAGTCTTATAAAATCTTTATACTTTTTAAATATTTCTCAAGAGCTGTTTTACCTTGGACCATGTCTTCCAACATGACCATAATAGTTTTAACTAATTTCTGATAACTAATTTATTTTAATAATGTCATTTAAATTTGTTTTAAAACTGCTTTTATTCCAGCCATGCTAAAAATAGCAGGTAATGTGATCATTTATATATACATAAGTCCGCAAATATCAAGATTTTTGGATGGCTGTTTGTTTTTATACATAAGATTTCATTATATTAATGGTTTGAACAAAATCTCAAATATATAAGCCTACTATAACCATAACACAATGTTTAGTTCTATTCAACGTTTTTCCAAACATTTCTCTCAAAATAAAACAGAATAATTGTATATCACTATAACTGGACATGTAATAGAATGCAACTTACAGGTATAAAATAGGTTCGTGTGTTTCATGCACATGCATTTCGTCGTCGCTTTCATCACTGTCCTCAAACTCAGTCTCCTCGTCGCTGCTTTGATTGTTCAACAGCACAACCTCTTCGGTGAAGAACTTTCTTTTACGATTCATCCTCGTTGTTTTCTCCCCTTTGTCTTTCAGCAGTTGAGTTTTTAGCTTGAAAAAGTTATGGTTAGTGTAAGTACTGAGAGATTTGTACTGTAGATGGGAGTTCCGTCAGTGGACACGTCACGAATGACTCACAACACTGACCACTGAGAGAGCGTGTTCGGCTCAGGAATTTAAACTTCCCACCATCAGAATCGTGCTCTCATTGGCTAAAGATTACATCAATCATGTCGTTGCCATAACGACTCACATAAAAAGCGTAGAGACTGGAGGAATTCTAGCATGTGCAAAACGCCAAAACAAACAACTGTTATTTTGGATAACAGGGTTCCGCGTATTTTAACTTTTGATTCCGTTCGCAACACAGTAGAGAACGGCTGAAAAATAAAGGAAGACACGCGTTATTGCTTAATTTACTCATATATGTAGGGATTACTCTGTATATAAAATCATCAGGGTAATTCTTCAACTGCGGGCACTCTTACGCAGGTCTTGATCGTATATCTAAATATAATGATATCTTTTAGGTGTCAAAACCACTGCTTTATTTCGTCGTGTTGCACATTTAAACTTTAACAAAGAAAATAATATTTTATAAAATATTTATCTGGTACCTACTATAGCATCTTAATTAAGTACAAGTGAAATAATCTAATAATTGAGTTATTAATGTAAAACTATTATCAATATTCATTTTTATTCAAAATATAGCAGTCACACAGTATCAGTGTCATTTCCACCACAACACTGTAATGTCGCTTAAAACTTTTGTGTAAGAAATTGTTTAGGCGGTTTCTTTGAAAATGATTAGAGACATTAGAGCACATGTTCAAGATGGTGGGAATTTACATTTTCGCACATGAAGATAAATCAATGTAAACAGTGCTTGATATTTATTCTACATCATTTCTAAACATGCTGTACCTTCAAATGTGTTTTAAAAAGCAAACAAAATTAAGATAAATAAGAGTGTTTTGTATACATGAAATGTATCAATTCAAAGATAATTGGTGAAGCTATCTTTAATTGTTTCCCCAAATAAACTGTTGAAATGTCATTTCCACTACTGTCATTTCCACCACACTGCCCCTTGTGGTGGAAATGACAGCATGTGATGGAAATTACATTTAGGGTTACAAAACAGAATTGATATGGATTGCGAAAGTACAGGGGTTGGACAATGAAACTAAAACACTGGTCAATTTAGTTTTGAAGGTTTCATGTCTGAATTTAAACAACTGGTGGCCAGTCTTCATTGATTGCACATTCCTCTATTAAGGGCAGAGTGTGAATGTCTGATTGGCATTCAAACTCACATTATTAGCATTTAACACCGAATAAAGCACATGATGTGTATACCTGAGGTGATCATTGTCAGTTTATCCTGTTGTTTAGCTGCAAGAAATAGAAGCTTTTTCTAAAACATTATTTTTTAGGACAAAAACTATATGGAAAATATTCATTTTTTTATCATTTGCCATTGCTTTTATTTAGGACACAACTTAAATCAGCCTTTAGGCTCAATAGTTTGGCACACTTCTGTTGATGTCCTCACTCTGGCAACATGCGCCTGCTTGTTTTGAACCAGGACTGCAATACAAACCACTGGGTGTCAAACATGCATACGGCACCTTTTGTTTACTTTTTAGACCAAGTAATTAGAAAGAAATGTAGAATTGTAATGATGAAATTTGTAAATAATTACATTTTAGAAGTAACTTACTCAACGTTAAGTGCAAAAAAAAAAAAAAAAAGAACTACCAGGAAATTTTTAACTAAATGTGTTCTTTTGTTCAGTAAATCCTTTACTAAATAAATATTCTGATGTGTAACCTATGCATACACAAAGTTTGCACATTATTTTTAAGCTTTTCTTTCTTTTTTTTAAATAAATAAATAAATATATGAAATAAAGAGCGTTTCAGTGTTTTTTATTTGTAAATATGTACAAACTTAGTACAAGAATATACATTTCACAACAGTTATGAACAAATACAACAAAATAAAAATGAGAGAAATTATATTAGGGGTAATAAATAATAAATAAATTTGTAAGATAATAATGATGATGATGATGATAATAATAATAACATTCTTTTATCAAATTTTATTTACATAATGGTTCATTTGCTAAGAGCGTTTCAGTGTCTTTTTATTTTACAGTCATAATAACCATATCAATGGATGACATCAAGGACAATAATAAACATGGACAATTATATAAATAAATAAAAATTATGCTAAAATAAGTGTTTCAGTGTTTTCAATTTGTTTTATTTGTAAATATGTACAAACTTAGTACAAGAATATACATTTCACAATAGTTATGAACAAATACAACAAAATAAAAATGAGAGAAATGATATTAGGGGTAAAATAAATAAATAAATAGGTAAGATAGTAGTAGTAATAATAATAATAATAATAATAATAATAACATTCTTTAATCAAATGATATTTACATAATGTTTCATATGTTAAGAGCGTTTCAGTGTCTTTTTATTTTAAAGTCATATTAACCATAACAATGGATGACATCAAGTACAATAATAAACAAGGAAAATTATACATAAATAAATAAAAATAAGGCTAAAATAAGATAATATAAAAAAAAAACAGGGTATAGAGGCTAAACTATCAAAATGAAATATTTACAAAGTCCTGATAAAATTTTACAGTTTTTACACTTTTTTGCTGTAAAGTAGTAATTGAGCAATTTTAGTCAGAAAAACATATTCTGCAAATTAGGTAATAATAAAGAAAAATTACATTTGTGAATGTAGAGCTGTTCAGCGTCTGCTTTTTTATTTATTTATTATTTTTTTTATTAATGTCAGGGTAACAATAACATCATAGAAATGCAAGAGTGTACATGAGTTTTACAGAGGAGCAAATAAACAAGTAAGCACATAAAAAAGAAAAGATAACAAGAATAAAAAGAAAAACAAATAATATTACCTTATGTGTTAAGAAAATTAAAAAAGGCAAATAAGTTAACCGTTCTAATGGCTTTAAGATTTTTAGAGGAAGCAATAGTTCTAATGTACTGTTGAATTTCCTTTTCAAAAACAATAAAACAAGGTATACGCTGAGAGAATTTACAGCGGTGTATATGGAATTTAGCAAGGATTAAAAGGAGATTAACTATTCAGCGTCTGCTGCAGATCAATCAACAGGTAGTATGACGTAACATCCTCGTTCTCAGAAGTCACGTGACTCTGTCGGTTTAAATAGTAAGCCGTGTCATTTCATCATTATCATGGTTCACTGCATCATCCAGTCTGGATGCGTTCAAAAGAAGAAGCAATATGACGAACCACTCTCTCCTCCTGTGGCTGTTGTTATTTCTGGACGGTGAGTCAGATTTATTTGAATAAATCCCAACTTTCGGTTTCACTTGGTTATGCGGCGGAATAACAGTGTGCGCGGTTATTTTGCTAATTTGTTTTAGATATCCGCTGTGTTTCTTAGCATCGTTGCTATTATTGCTTTTGTTTAAGGTTGCTACAAAGCGCCATGTGAATACTGACAGACGATAGTATCTAAAGATGAATCAGTCATAGCCTGTTTGCATCATTTTTAAGGATGATGGGGTGGGCAATGGGTGTGTTTAGTAGCTAGAGGGCGCTGAAAGCCTGAATACTGCTGTCAGTGTTTGACATGAATCAATAACACTGCTTTAGTTTATCAAAATAGAACAACATATTGTTTATTTAAGCTTTAAGTTATTGTCGTTGTCAGACAGGGTGCGACTTTCACTATTCGTAAGTGTGTCTGTAACGTTTTACGAGCGTGAATCCTGTTTGTTGCCTCAGCACACGCATCCTGTTTGTTTCCTCATTATTGAACTGCCACTGTCAAGTTTGTTATTGTAGCCTGCCTTTGGCTATAAACCAGAACAAATGTGTTTCTTGCTAAATGCACTTCAACAGTAAGCGGGGTGGAGCTGATTTACTACTGAACCGAGTTGTCATGCAACTGTCAGCTTTGAGACTCTAGGCTTTTCGGCTTTTCTTACAATGTTTTTCAAGTCTAATCTAAAGAAAACATCCTAAACACACCTGTAAGGGTTTCTATTGTCAGACTAATCCATGGTTGCAGACTTCATTTACTTGGAATTCAAGCATTATCAAGAATTCAATGCATTTTCTCAAGGCTTTTTTTTTTTTCCAAAATGTGTTTTGTTTTGTCCCGCATGGGCCATAAATCCCGTCAGCAGCAGTTTTATTTGTTCGGTTTCATTTATTTTTTATTCATATATGTATTCTGAAGGCTTTTACAGAGGGAATGTATTATATATTGTTGTATAAAACCAATGTTCAACACCTGTACACACGCATGTATTTCTTTCCTGACCGGCCACTTTATTAGGTACACCTGTCCAACTGCTTGTTAACACAAATTTCTAATCAGCCAATTACACGGCAGCAACTTTATGCATATAGAAATGATCAAGACGATCTGCTGCAGTTCAAACCGAGCATCAGAATAAGGAAGAAAGGTGATTTAAGTGACTTTGAGTGTGGCATGGTTGTTGGTGCCAGACAGGCTCTGAGTATTTCAAAAACTGCTGATCTACTGGGATTTTCATGCACTGCCATCTCTAGGGTTTACAGAGAATGGTCTGAAAAATGGAAAATATCCAGCGAGTGGCAATTCTGTGGGTGCAAGTGCCTTGTTGATGTCAGAGGAGAATGGCCAGACTGGTTTGAGCTGATAGAAAGGCAACAGTATCTCAAATAACCACTTGTTACAACCAAGGTCTGCAGAAGAGCACCCCTGAACAACACACAACATGTCCAACCTTGAGGCAGATGGGCTACAGCAGCAGAAAACCACACCAGGTGCCACTCCTGTCAGCTAAAAACAGGAAACAGACTACAATTTACACAGGCTCACCAAAATTAGACAACAGAAGGTTGGAAAAACATTGCCTGGTCTGGTGAGTCTCAATGTCTGATGCGACATTCGAATGGTAGGGTCAGAATTTGGGGTCAACACGAAAGCATGGATCCCTCATGTCTTGTATCCATGGTTCAGGCTGGTGGTGGTGTAATGGTGTGGGGGATATTTTCTGGGCACACTTTGGCCATTTGTACCAATTGAGCATCATGTGAACACCACAGCCTACCTGAGTATTGTTGCTGACAATATCCATCCCTTTTTAACCACAGTGTACCCATCTTCTTATGGCTACTTCCAGCACTATAACGCGCCATGTCATTAAGCGTGAATCATTTCAGACTGGTTTCTTGAACAATACAATGAGTTTATTGTACTCAAATGGCCTTCACAGTCGCCAGATCTCAATCCAACAGAGCATCTTTGGGATGTAGTGGAACGAGAGATTTACATCATGGATGTGCAGCCGACAAATCTGCAGCAGCAGCGTGATGCTATCATGTCAATATGGAGCAAAATCTCTGAGGAATATTTCCACTATCTTGTTGAATCTTTGCCACAAAACAATCAAGGCAGTTCTGAAGGCAAAAGTGGGTCCAACCGGGTACTAGTAAGCTGTACCTAATAAAGTGGCCTGTGAGTGTATATTTTGGAGTGATATCTAGTTTTTTTTGTGTGGGTGTTTGCTTTTGTAAATCATCACATATTAAATAAAATAGTGGAATAGCACATTTTAGTTGCAAAAATATTTGCAATTCTTAATGTATCAATCAACTGGGGAGGATGCATGCTAATTATAAATATTTTTAACCTTGAGGTTTCTTGCCGTGAATTAGTTTTGCTTATTAGGATTACTAATAAAAATGCCACATTTCCAAACAAATGAATATTTTAATTCAAAACAAATTTTGGTGAAATAAGTACATAATCAGATTTTAGACACAGTCATATTTTAATTCTAGAGTCCCGTACATTTTTTTAATATCTCCCTTTGCTGTTTGTGTTTGGTCATCAGGTGCATCTGGAGCTGTTGAGGTGTCAGTGATAAAAGGAGATTCTGTCACTCTTCAAACTGGTGTTTCTGAACTGCAGAATGATAACAAGGTAGATTGGACACATGGAGATGGCACTATAGTAGCTGAAATTGAAAACAAGGAAATAAAAACAAAAGATCCTGCTAAGCTATTCAAAGGCAGACTGGAGATTGACAGAAAAACTGGATCTCTCACCATTATAAACATCACAACTGAAGATAAAGGATTTTATAAACTAGACATCCGCGGTAAAGATCTGATCTCCAAGAATTTCAATGTTACTGTTCGTGGTGAGTAACCCAAGTTTTAAAATGTGCTATTCATATTGTATATATCTACATTTTATATATATATATATATATATATATATATATATATATATATATAAAATTTATAAATAAATGGAGTTAAATTTTGGAGAAACATGCATATTGTGAAGACAATATGAAATGTATTGACATTTTATAAAGAATATTCTGTTGTTTTTTATGTGTTTTTCTTTTAATTTATTTTATTTTTGTTTATTCAGAACAATAAAAATTTTAGTCAACAACTGAAGACATGAGGTGTGTTGTGTTATTTTCTGATTGGCTAAAACACAGAAAGGTCTTGCAATTGTCCTTTAAAGGGCCATTTAATGTTGATTTGAAACACATTTTAATGTTTATTTACTACAGCATCGTAATAAGAGTAAAAAAAGTTATTTATTAATTTACTTATTAATAATTTCTTTGTTTTTAATTTTTTTTTTGTGTGTCTCTTTCATTTATACCACCATTATTCATAGCAAACTGGTAATAAACACACCGTAAATTACCTAATATATTTCCTATTATAAAAACAAATATATATATATACTGTAAATTGAAATGTGAAAAGGACCAAAAATGTGATTAGAAATGCTTAAAGATGCATCTTAGAAGCAAATTGGAAGCTTAATTTGCTATCTGTATGGTGTCGTCAATATCCTCTTGTGTGTCACGTGATCAACAGAAAATCAATAATACTCTTGTTATAAGGAAATGCAATATTTTTTACCATATAAGTGTTTCAATATATTGCATAGTTTGTTTGTTTTTTTTGTTTTTTGAAATATGCTTTATTTAGATTTTTTTTTTAATAAGATTTGGGGTCAAGAATGTTCAGCATGATCTCAGACTCCTATACTCCCCACGATACACCCATTTAAGTTTGTTTTCCTTGTGTGTCTGTTGTTGAGACAGATGATCTGGAGTCAGTGTCAGTGATGGAGGGAGATTCAGTCACTTTACACACCACTGTTACTCAAAAACAGAAAGATGATCAGATACTGTGGAAGTTTGGAGATCAAGATTTAACCTGTTAACAGTTGCTCCTATTACATTAGTTCATACCAACATATGACAAACACTAACTATAATGGTTGCAGTTTATTAACCCATTAGGCTACATGAAGAACTGGGGACTCTTTTGAAAGATTTTAGTTCTGAGTTTATTATTTAAATGCCATAATTGTTAATATTGTTATAGAAATCAGATGTAAAAAGGGAAATGTATTGAAAAGTAATAATTAATAAATTCTGATTAATAAAATACATATAAATAAGTACACAAAAATATTCCAGAACGACTCAAAACAGTTATAATGCAAAAGCCTCAAGAATGTTCAATGTTTAAGTCAAACTTTTAAAGAGTTTCTATTAAAAATATTATCCCTGTTATCATTTTCTCTTATAAAATATGCATTTGAAAATGCACATTTGGAGTAGTTCATATTTAGCAAAAATCAACATAATTTACTCCGCCTGATATTCTAAAATCATCCACATAATTTTCCATGATGATTTTCAATTGTACAGACTGATATCAGTGTGCTGTTGTTCATGCAGCACTGTTCACCCAACAGTATTTTAAGATTATTTACCAAGTCCAACTAAGTCATTTTACTTAATCACTTTTGAATTATGACCAATACTATCATTTTTGGCATCCACAATTTGCCTTAAATGGCAAAATTGCTTTTAAAATCAAACATTGTAAACTCTAGACATGATTTATAGATAGATTTTTCTGATAAAGTCTAATACTTGGACTATATGGTGCTTTTAAAATAAATTTATTGTGACGTTTGGTGTAAGTATGAGCAGGATTCTTCATTTATTTTATCTCTAAAAGAGAAGAGAGTGACTTTGGAAAAGACTAATTATTATTGTATTATGTTTAGTTACATTAGTGATGCAGAAATTGCATAAAATAACGCACCTTAAGCAAGATTACGTATGTTAAACTACTTTTAATCTCAGTATTTTAATACAAGACTCCTTTGCTTAAAAGTTTGCATGTGGTTTATCGCAAAATAAAAACAGTGCTTATCAAATATCTGTAATAACATGTTTAATGGCTGCATTTTCAAATAATTTGACCGGACATAGTTGTGAATTGGTTACCTGTACACAGCAAATATTATGGGTTGGAGATATTTAAACTTTTCAACAGTCGGTGGCGCTGTTAGAATGTTTTGAACGACTGGCCAATCAGAAGTGCGGAAAGATGGCTGGGGGCGGGATATTCTGTGCGCAAAACTTTAACAAACGTGATGATATAGCATTTTGCTACTAAACACATCTTAGATTACAGGGTTTGGTTGACAAAGTGACGGTAATTATTTCGTGCTACAACGAAATGCTATTTTATTTAGTGTAAATCGTCAATATCCCTCCTAAATTGCCATAATTAAGACCACAAAATGGATTTTATTTAGTTTTCTGTGATGTAGTCATGAAATCTACACTAATATTAGCATTCTTGATTTCGTCTGTCCTTGTCACAGGACTGAAACAGCTCAAATACCCTGGTTTTGATGCTGCGTGCAGTCATTGAAAATCCAAATGGGATTTAAAATGAAGTGGTTGCTGTGGCATAAGGTTTATAAATATTAAACCCGGACACAGTGAGCTTTCGAATGATATATTATCTGTCTGAGTAGATTTAAACTTTATTGCTACAAATTTTCAGTAAACGTAAACAAAATAATGCATGAGCCAGCGATGGTCTCGAGCGAGTTATCAGATTAAATGGCGCAGATGCGGGACGGGAAAACTTTCACCTGAATGATCAGACCGGAGATCTCATCATCACAAACATCCAAAAAGATCAGTCTGGAGTTTATAAAGTGGAGATTAAGACCATCAGTCTGATTTTACACAGGAATTTCAATATTGATGTTGGTAAGTAGCTCGAGTTTTCAGTAAGGTCATGATTTAATTAGAAATTAAATGTGTTATTTAAAATCTTTGGCAAACATTGATAAATATAGGGTGATTTCAATGAGCAAAAATTATTTTTAAAAATTAAATCTAAAATTCTAGGGTGTTTAAAAACATTAGGAAATACAAGATGTATACCACCCTCCAAGATCATCTCCAGAGTGATTAAAAGGGCTCAGAGAGGTTCCCATGCTCTTTTCCACATTGCACTGTGTATGCATATATGAACAATTTTTAATACGGTTATGTTCTTATTTTTGTAATTTTGTCCACACCATGTTTGTACATTTTGTACTCTCTATTGGACGCTCCTATCACCAAAACAAATTAATTTACAATAAAGCACTTTCTGATTTGATGACCACCTTTTGGGAGACAATTGAAAATGAGTAGATAGACACAGAGCATTTTTGGAAGAAAATGCCATTTTCAACTTCATCCAAATTAGTGTGGACGTAGCTTAATTGGCAGTCCATGTTGATGGTGTTTTTAAGGTATTTACAAATTAATCAGTACTGCATTCTGCATGATATGATTTAAATCTCTGAATTTTAACTTTTTTGTTTTTCATATGTGTTTGTTACTGACAGGTAGTGCGAAGAGGGTGTCCGTGAAGGAGGGCGAATCTGTCACTTTACACACTGGTGTTACTGACAAACAAAGATATGATCAGATATTGTGGAGGTTTAAAGATCAAGACATTGCAGAAATCAATAAAGGGAAAAATCATGTATTAGTACATGACAGGAATGAGGAGAAAAACACAATCAGATTTCAACTAAATGAAAACAGCGGATCTCTCACTATTAGTGACTCTAAAAGCATAGATTCAGGAGATTATCATCTAAACATGACCAGCAGCACACACTCTATATGGAGGACCTTTAGTGTTAATGTCAAAAGTGAGTAAAACGTTCAATATCAATTTCATCATAACACAATACCAAAAATATTTGCATGTCCACCTTTTTCCTACTCTCCAAGTTATAAATTAAGGGAGTGTCTTTCCTTAAACTGTAAACAAGAATATATTCTTGTTGCAGTTCTAATAAAAGGAAAATTGTTGAAATCCCAAATTACATTTAGTACACTATAACCAAAAACTTGAGAATATCTGTAATATTTTTACAGAAATGTTAAATATTACAAAGAGAAAACAATCTGGCTTAGCAGAACCTAGTGAACCAATGTAACGTTAAAATACAAGTGTAAATTAATATGGATTATTTGTAGTGCAAAAATCGTTTGAATTGATTTATCAGTTCTTTTTAAACATGTTCTTCAAATAGAAATTGCTACCCATAAATTAAAACCTGTTCATGTGAAAAGGTGGATATAAAAATGAAGCATTTGTGAAAGAATTGATATCATCAAACCAACAGTTTCATTCACACTAAGTATTGTCTTTTTTTAGCTATTGAAAAAATGGACAACCAGACTCCAGGTCTTCACCCAGGTTATATAGCACTGATAGTTGTTTGTGTGTTGATAGTCCTACCTTTGGCTGCTGCTGTGATTTACTTCTGCAACAAGGGTAAGTACTGTATCACCCACGGTTCATATAATTTTAGAAAACAGGAGTAAAATCAAATTAATATCATTATTAATGTAAGAGAGGAAATGCTAAATCACTATGAGCTTTGTTAGAGAAAACCTAATGGAAATGTGATCTTCGATTGATCTTAGCACTATGGGGTGTTGGTGTTAGGATCTTTCTATGGTCCTGTTCACACAGATGGCCCAGCAGATTCTAATACTATCTTAATCTGTTTGGAAGCACACTATAACGACACAAATAAATAAATAAACAAGTGATATTAAATAGAAATTATATCAGCCGTGCCAATGTTTTCAACAATTTATATTTTCTTCATTTTCACTTTGACAATTCACTATATAATTTATTCTTTATTCACATATCTTCATGTGTAACAATCAGCACTGACAGTTGAATTTGTGTTTGATTGCAGAGCATGAAATTATCTAATCAGAAAGGCCAGTATGGTAAGATATGGAGCAGTTGAGTTCTGCATGCTGCTGTACCTGGAAAAAAAAAAAGTGTTTTCTGCATGTGTTAAAATCTTTCATGACCTGCCTATCGAAAAAAAAAATAAGTGTCTATCTATGACTGTAACTCTTACTATTTTTAAATGGCTTTCAGTGAAGATAAACAGAATTAACTTCAAGAACTTTAAGATCAGAATTAAAAAATTAAAAAGATACCACCCATTAATTACATTATACAATACATTACCCAATAAATACATAATTTAACCATGAGCTAAGCTT